ATCGCTTTCAAACCGGTTTGAAAAATTCTGTCGATTGGAATGGATAGAGAAGCAAGCAGCAGATGAATGTTAACAAACAGATACGTGATATATGTGCGTAACGCTGACAAAATGCTAATAGAAGTGCGGACGCTGCTTAGATTGACGAGAATACGTAAATTCCCCTAAATGAGAATGCATAGTCTATTACATTTGGTTCCTAAATTGCAATCAGATATGAATATTAAAATACGAACATATGACGATATACAAACAACTTCTCCACTTTAGTTTTTTTTAATTTCTGGATGGTTTTTCATGGAAATTATTAGATAAAAAATATTTCTCTAAAACAAGTGAACCACTCCGCCATGAATGTTGCGAGATAAAACAATTCCAATAAAATATGTCTATTTTTTCCAGTAGCTCCATCAATAGAGTGAAAGTTTTATAATAACGCAACCCACCAGAGGGGTTTTTTTTTTCTTATCAGAAGACGGTACTTTTATTATTGAACAACATTTTGGTTTATGTCAGCGAAGTAGGGGAAGAAGGGCTATAACCAAGGAGTAGGTCACTACGCACACCAGTATTGGGTCATCTTTTTTGTCAGTGTGCCGCAAGTGTACCGATTGTGCCGGTCATAGAGCAAGCTGCGATTGTTTGTAAAATATCCATCCCGGCAACCCGGTATTTCTGACACCTTGAATGTTTTGGTTTGAAATCGCAAAGATAAACCGGATTGAAGATGACGCGAGAAGTCGCGGGTATACCAAATTTCGGTGTTTTGTATTCATAGGGTAATAAAAGTCCTGTGTTTTAGGGTTTTATAATGCCCTCAAAGGCAGACCAGAAACCTAGCCTTTCGTGATGTGAAAGCAACGGTCCAATAGCTACCAGACAGTGATTTACGGAATTATTTGAATTAAGGGTATTAATGGGGTCCAATTACCTGCCTTTTTCTCTTGATCCCACTCTAGAACCTACATTTGATAAGTAGATTTATAAGTGAATTGCTGGTCTGAGTTAATCAGTCAGTCAAACAGCACGCAATTTTGTGAACAACTTCATGGACAGTTGTCCAGCATTTGTGTGCTCCCGTTTTATTTACAACAATACAATGCATACGAGATTGTGCCGAAGGTGTGCCGACGGATGTACCCAAGCTGTGCCGGATCTAATTTCGGCAAAATGTGCTGAGTGACTTACCCCTTGGGTATAACGAACTTACGCGGTGATCTAAGCCCCCCTTCGTTCTCCAGGACAACCCTAATAAAAAAATATCATGCATCATCATTATGTACTTTACCGCGTGTTTTTTAGTATCATGCAAAATATATTTAGAATATCGTATCTGTTTATTGAGGAAATATGCCCCTTCCTCTCTTATATATAGAATACTGTGATTTTTCTCAAATCAAACGTTTGGTTTCGAATAAGTATGTGTTTAGTATAATATCAATTGAAAATTAGGGGGATTCAGTTATTCAAAAGCTCGTATACAGGATCTCCACCTGTTAAATGTTTTGATAGTAAGCATCGTAGTAAAGCGTCGAACGTATCCATTTCCAGAGGCTTGTTAAAAATTAATTTGAATTTGCTACCTCGAGTTGAAGAACCTTCTCCAACCAGTCCCAATGGTGACGCATTACCTCTGAATGCTTTCATGCTTTCAGATTAGCATTGTAAGTCCCTCCTACATGAAGAATTTTGCTATGGAACGGCTTGCTATGCCCCACCTCCATCAGCAAAAAATTCGGAATATTATAATTGAGGCACAATATAGCAAGCCGTTCCATAGCATAATTCTCCAAGTAGGATGGACTTACAATGCTAATCTAAAAGCATAAATAGAGGTACCGTCGGATAATTTCAGTGCCTGGTACAGAAATCTGTAATCTGTGATAGGGAAAACCCTTTTTTCCACCACAGAAACACCCCGTTTTCTTATGGAAAATAATGGATATTTGTTGACAAGGGTCTCCCTTAGCTCAGTCTTGCAAAGCAAGACCATGCTGGAGGTGGCTGGGTTCAATTCCCGGTCCGGTCTAGGAATTTTTCGGGTTGGAAAATTTCTCGACTTCCCTGGGCATAGAAGTATGATTTGACTTGCCACACAATTATACCAATGCAAAAATGGTGCAGGCATCGAAAGCTCTCAATTAATAAGTGTGGAAGTGCATCTAGAACAACACTAAGTTGAGAGCACGCAATAAGCTAATATGCGATATGCAATAAGCTTGAAATGCGAAGAAGAAGAAGAAGAAAAAGTGTTGACAAAAGGTACCGAATAATTAAAAAAGCAATATTAAGTGAAACATGTTTACTCAATCCGCAGCTACAAGATGAACCGAGAATTGATTGGAGGGATTTCAAGCGAAAATTTTCAGATCGCGAGATACCCATGTGCACCCATTTCGGTGTGTGCTATTTTTTAGCTTTCGCAAAATATCCCTTCCTTAATTACGATGGATTCCCCTTTGGAATAAATTCCCTTCCCAGAGGTAATTTCAGAATTTTTCTAAAATAAGTTTTTAGATTCTCTTTGGGAGTGTATTTATAACAGTCTGGAATAGTGCTGCAACGAATATTCGGCCGCCATAGTATTCGGCCGAATATCAGGCTTTGAGCGAACAACATTTCACTCAATCGTTTTGTCTACCACTCATTTGTAAGAAAATGGCCGAATAACAGCAAAATTTCACATGTAAACACCGAATACCAGGCCTAATAGCACTATTTGGTGCAGCTCTAGTCTAGAAATTCTCTACAGATCGATGGAAAAAGTATGTCAACCCGAGGGGGACGACTCTATCTACGATGCAGGAAATATTGTGTTTTGCTGTGGCTAGCTGCGCGTACGCTGAGTAGATAGAAAGAAGATTTATCACGATTTTGAAGATTTCCTGCAAAAAGATGATGCACGATGCAAGTAGATGTGAGAAATGAAAGAAGATTTTTCAAAGATTTATTGGCTAGTGTGAGATTTTTTGAGCATCTAGAATTGAGATTTGATGTGTCGCCCCCCTCGTGTCAACCTTAGATTTTTCTTCCATAGTTCCATTTAAAATTCAGCTGAATTCTGTTTGAAAATCACCTCAGAATTGTCTTGAAATTTTACCTAGAAATTTCCTGAAAATTCTCCAGAAATTCGTTTCGTGATGTCCTTGGAATGCCCTTAAAATTATTCCCAGAATTCCTATGGAATTGTAGTCTCAAACTTCGATCCCCTTGGCCTTTTTCCCGAACCGTGGGATCCTCTTCACCATCGACTTGTAGTTTTCCACAGAGCTACTTAAGAATTCTACTCTGAATGTGAATTCATTTACATTCATTTCATGCAATGATTTACATTCATTTGCCTCTAACTTTTTTCATCAACAGCATTCCGCAAAATGATGTACAGTGCTTTAGTAAGTTTTGTTATTAGCTACAACTTTTGCCCATAGCTCAAATCTGTATCTCTTATGCATCACGAATTAGAGCGGGCAGAACTTGTTACTGTTTTTCAGTGAATGTAAAATACATTCACTGAAAAACAGTAGTGGCTTCTGTTCGCTCTGGTTCATCATACATAAGAGATACGGATTTGGGTTGTTAATAAAAGTTGTAGCTAATAACAAAAACTACAAAAGCTCTATACACCATTTTGCGGAATTCTGTTGATGAAAAAAGTTAGGGGCAAATGAATGTAAATGAATGCAAATGATTTTCCATGCCTGACTCACACAAGTGACTTGACTTTTAATCCCTAAGACTTCTTTATAAAACTCCCTTTAATTTTCTCTCCCTGTCATTCATTCTCAAATGTAAAATCAGCTCAAAATATCGAGTAGAGGGTTGGGATTTTTTTTTCGTGGAAACAGTTATAAAACTATCACTTTTTATTTGTAATTTTTTCAAAAGTTTTTCTATAGAAAATTGAAAAAGTATTTATTTCAATAGATTCATGGAGTTATTTCCTATCGGTTGGTGTATTTGAATTTTATTTTCATCTATAAATGACAAAGTTATAAGCGTTCAAAACCTAACACCTTTTCGTGACGGTCACAATTTTAGATTTTTGATTTTCCCCCTATGTCTCCCGTAAGACGTAGTCTACGTCAAAAAGAGTTCAGATTAAAAAAGGGTCAGATTCCGATGATTGGGCAGAACACGACGAGCCAGTTGATCCGAAATGACGTAACTCACTCGAGGACTTCGGCTGCATTCGGCTGAAATAGAAACATCTGCGCTGACTTATCGTTCGTGGACGGATCTTAAGCTGGTGGTACAACCATAGAGGTAACTCTAAGACCAGAAGGTCACGAAGAAACGTGCTCAGCTCAGGAACTCTCTTCGGTCCCAAGCTAATCGATGCACCCCTCGAAACATAGGAAAATCCACGAGCCTCTCATTATATCTATCAAACTTTCATAGCGAATCAAAACAAACATAGTGTAGTACTAGATTTTCGAATCAAATGGGGTACGCTTACAGATGTACTTGGGACCATTAGGCTAGTCAAGAAGTCAGCCAGTTTTAAATCGCACACACACTATTTTTGCCGAGATTTCAACAGCCGACTAGTTCTGCCCTGGACTAACATAGAGCTGAGCGATATTCCACCGCGACATGCCACCGCGTCCCAAACCAGCTGGACCTTTATCGGCTTTTTGGGGCTTAGCGCAACATTTAGAGAGAGGTACCCTAGCATTTTTCGTTACGTGTAGCTCTAAGTGATACCTGACCAGTTTCCAAAAAATTGGCTATTTTGGATCTGTTAATTTTGCAATAAATTGTAGCGCTAAAACGTCACTTCTGGTCGAAATGACAACTGGCACAAATTTGTTTAGAAAAGTAAAGTAATTCTGGGAAAAATATGGTAAATGCATATTTGTAATCTGCATTAACAATGGAATCGAAATCCAAACTTTCATCAATTTTGGTGCACTGAAACTATTTTAAATAAGTGCGATTAAATTAGCAAAAAAAAACACCATTTAAGCGCCCCTCGGTGGACCTTTTTATGGGACCGAACTGTCAGTTTGTTAGTTTAGTTTCAAACAGTGAAATTATTGTTTTGCTTTAAAGCTTGATTTAAAAAATCAAGACGAAAGTGTATGGGTTCGAAACAAGTATCATTGTGCTCAAAAAAGTGAAGTCCTTTCGTTCATTTGGATTTATAAATTTTAAACTTTCGAACGCTACTGCAACTCGCCTTGCAACTAGCAACAAAACCGTCCTGGGTGGATTTGTTCCACAAAAAAACGGCACTTCAAATAATTTAACTATACTTAAACCAAGACTTACCTGCCAAATTAGCACCACTTATCGCACCGGAAAGATCACAGCTTCCGTCCGATGTCGGTCACCTCGATAGCATCTGCTTCATGAAGATGAGTCAGTCAGTGTAGGTCCAAATCGGGAAGAGAACCGGGAAAAATAGCCAGAGAGAACGAGAAAAAAAACTATCAACAAACAGTTAACGCGTACAGAGGCAACCAGCATGGTAATTTGATGATGATCAACAACAATAATAAATTGGTACGCCAAAGCGGTAGCCGTGCCGCCGCCAGCGGTAAAGCAGTTTGTTTACCTTTGTACCTACTGCAGAAAAAAAAAAACAGATGTTCCGACATGTTTAGAGAGTTAACCGCTTTCCATACTTATCGCGATATGCACTTGATATGAAAGAGACGTGGAAGATGATTATCCATTTTGACAGCTACCGAAATTCACCACGCTTCACTTCTGTCACCATTGGTAACCGCCACCCAAAGCCTACCGCGTGTCGTAACTGCATATAGCCGATGAAGCCCATTCGTAATTGTACACGTGGGTTGTTGCGCAAACGTCACTTCAGGTAGGTTAGGTAGTGTTTGGTCCACTCGAATTAACCTTTCACCGCATGGTCCTAAGTGGTGAACTAACCTTTTGCCGAACGGGCGCCCATCGCAGAGCAGACTGGTTACGCTCTTTTGAACTGCCAAAGCATTTGATAGCCGCACGTTGTTTCGGCTTTCTTCAGATGAAGGTAGATACAACGCAAGAAAGATGAGCCGTATAAACCGTCAAAACGTGATTGTTCGAATAGATTATAAATTATTATTTGGCCGTCGTAAAACGTGGTAAATTATTCATCTGCCCATCAATCCACTCCATACACAGCGAGAAACAGCCAGAAGGAGGTGAAGGCTTTCTCCTGCAATTACTCGCATTTTTCCGAACAATAACACGGTCGGACCAACTGCTGGGTTAGATAATTTCGGAGCTTTTTTTTTCGTTCACAGTGGGACACAAGACCAATCGCTCTTATCTAACCCCCGGCGGCAGAGCAGATGGTAGGGCATTAATACCGATCGAATAATGATCCTCCGCCACCGCCGCCGTCACCATCCGTTACTTTCTGCTTCAATTTCTCGAATTACTGCTACCAATCAAACAAGTCAGCCGTGGAATTTGACGCCCGTACTCATCTGTCACTAGCGTGACCTGTCATTGTTTTTTTTCCTGGCTCCACTGGCAATCCAAAGCTGGTGCAAATCTCAACAATTGAATCCTCCCACGTGTTTCGTACTCGTACTCGATTGCAAGCGTTCAATTGATAATCAAAACAACAACAGCAACAATACCAAAGAAAGAGACCTCTGTCTGCTCTGTGCAATAGCGCCAACTGTCAGCCGAGGGGTCACACGCTTCTGCCTGAAAACGAAGCGCCATCATTATGTAAATTTTTGACACGAAATCATCGCTCTGCCATCGTGCCAGATTCCCACCGTCGTAGGCGTAGGCTCGAGGAGGCTCGATATCCAAGTCACGCAACGCCTATGTACTCTTTTCGTGTGGGATGCAAGTTGTAGGTACTTTCGTTTTCGCGATCATCGCCTACTTGCACTTTTGCGCTGCGCGGTTCACGATTACGCGGCATACTTTGTTGCCGCAACGGTACATATTTGCTAATGAGGCTGAGTTTTGAGGTTAGAATTTGTTTTGTTATGATGTGCGAATTGCAAGCAAAATAAGGAATTGGCTCTGGAATTTTGTCTGATTGGCAGTAAACATTTGCCATTAGCAGAGGTCTTCCGAGGAAGAAGCAGCTGAGAAACGGGGGTGTTGCATGCAAAGACTTCCACTCGAGTGGAACGAACTGCAATCGATCGATCGATCCGGTTGGCGCTGACCTGACCGAGTTTAATTATCATAGGTGAATAAAACCAACGGTCAGCCGGAGAGCGATAGTCTGTACCGAGTCGGAAGTTCTAGCGTTAACATCGAGTTATTGAGTTCTTAACTGAAAAGTTTTACCTAAAGTGAACAGCTGATAGTGAAGATTCAAGTCCGTTGGTTGGAGTTTGGTAGTAGGTGATCTACCAGAAGAATCATGGGTGGAATCGTTTCACGAGTGTTCCGCGGTAATCCGGAACAGCAGCAGTGTGGCAAATGTATGCGAAGTTGCTGCATCTGTCTGGATGCCAGCCTGGAACTGGCGCAACGGCGGTTGAAGCGGCTGGAGGCAAAGGAGCGGCGGCGGAGCATGGCACTGCGTTTGGGAATGGGATTGACCGACGAAGAGGAAGAAGAGTTGGCACTGGAAGAGGAGGAGGCTGCTCTGGAACTACGACGACAGCGTACGCTCAGAAGAAGCCGAATGCAATCTGCTAGACGGCGTCAACCACAACAGCAGCAGCAACAACAACAACAACAGCAGCAGCAGCAGGAAGAGGCGGAAGAGGAGCCGGAAGAACAGGAACAGAGGCCGCAAAGACAGCAATCGACGAGACGTCGACAACCGCAACGCCAGCAGGAACCAGAGGAGCAGGAGGAAGAACAGGAACAACAAACGCAACGAAGACGCCCAGCACAAAGAAGACGACAGCAAAGGCAGCCGGAACAAACTGAAGCAGAAGACGAAGCGGAGGAGCAGCCACAACCTCGTCGTCGGCAGCAGGGAAGCCAGCGCAGACGTACGACGCAGAGACAGGGACGTCAGAATCAACAAGGACAAGAAGAAGAAGAGGAGGAGGAGGAGGAGCCACAACAGCAACCAAGACGCCGTCCGGCAAACCGAAGACAAACCCAACGTCGCCAGAACCAACAACAGGAACAGGAGGAAGAGGAAGAGGAACCGGAAGAGCAGCAGCAGCAACAGCCAGCAAGACGTAGACAAACCCGACCACAACGACGACAGCAAAGACGACAGGAGACCCAAGAGGAAGAACAGGAAAGCGAAGAGGAACAACAACCCACACGTCCACGGCGCCGCCCTTCGCAGCGCCGATCTCAACGCCGTCAGCAACAACCCCAGGAGGAAGAGGAAGACGAATCTGAAGAGTCTGAGCCGCGCCGATCCCGACGCCGTAGTGTTGAACGTCGCCAGAGACGTGACCGCCGACGGGAAGAATCTGCCGAAGAATCCGAACTGGAGGAAGAGCGTGCCGAGCGGCGAGAACGTCGTGCACGCCGTCGGGAGCAGCGTCTGCGAGAGGAAATCGAAAGGGAACTGCGCCTGAAGGAAAACATCTGCCGCAATGGTTCACTCCGCCGTCATGCACCACCACAGCCAGCAACCGTTCTGCCTCAGCCTCGTGAACAGGAACCTCCGGTCGCTCATGGTCCGAACGTCCGTCGATTGGTCGCTTGTTACGAACTGATGCGCTCCGACGTCAGCGAGTGTGAATCACTGTCCATGCAGAATCTACTCAACCACGTAGATGATCATCCTATGCGGGACTCCATTCGTCGTAAAGAACGTTGCTGTAAAGATTTCTTCTTCTAGTGATCTGTTTCATCTCCATTGTACGATGCTTTAAAAATGTTAAAATCTGTCAAATCACATTTGCGATGGAACAGCTCTATTCACTACTTTTCGAGTTATCCAGCATGGAACCCACTTACTAATCATCTATTTTCAATCTCCTTTACCCCCTTGCAGGATTCGCCACTGTCGTCCAAGGTTGCCCTATTCAACAACGTCTCCAAAAGCCATATGCTGTCGCAATCAGTGAATCCCTTCTCCGAGTCGCAAGGCGCCCGCGGAATGCAGAGACTCCAGATCAGCAAAGAGGAGTACGGCAGGTAGGTGTCGCCACCCTGACCTTTCCCACGGCCACGCGCACTGCGCTGGCCTGGGGCTGACCAACTGACCAACTAACCAACCACACACCACGCGGCAGCACAACTGCATGTGTCTGTTCTTATTAACCTCTCTCTCTCTCTCCCTCTCTATTCTCTCTTGCTCATCCGTCATTCTGGGCATTAATAAACAAAACCACTCTAACGCTTCACTAATCACAGCGAAACTCATCATGAGTGTGGCTACAAGAACCGATCAACAGCAATGGCGGTCAACGATGAGGAACTGCCATCGCGGTGGTCGCCGCCCATGGCCTACTACTCCAGTATCGTCTATAGGTTTTAGCCGCCGCCGTCCAAGTAACCTCGCTCTGCCATGTTCGCGTGAACGCCTTGCCGGAATGCATTCATTATCCTTCTCCAACCACTGCTACGGCAATAATTAATCAATAACATTATGTACGCACTAATCAAAACAAACAGAAATTAAATTATCTAACCCAGTTTACCCAGTTAGGAAAAGCAACAGTGAGCGCAATTTGAAAGGGAAAAGAACCACCTGAACAGTATTTTAGTCGCACTTCTCTTATGTATGAGAACTGTCAAACTAAGCCTAGTCACCAGCAAAGAATGAGTTTTCTTCCCTTCCGCGCTCGTTCATAAGCTTAACATGTGTAGTGTTTTGTAATTTATATTATCTAGTAGCGTAACCATACAAGTATTAGCAAACACGAATAAAATATAACCCCATGTACTAAACCAGCACCCTAAAACTGAGCGTTTGATCTTACCACCACTAAAAAAAAAAAAACAAAAACATTGACAACCTGTTGACATTTCCGAAATTTTCATTGGTTATATTTTTCGTTTGCAGACCGAAAGCCGGCAGCCTCACCGAGTACCGGGGGAAGAAGGCCAACATCCAGGTGTACCAGGAGATGTTGGAACTTTGCACCGTGATCCACGACGAGGGACAACCCATCTCCAAGAAGGACCCGGAACGCAGAGTCCTCCTGTTCGGGGAACTCTTCAATGTAGGTTTTACCAGCTCAAAACTAATGAAAGAAATTGTGGTTTTGCTTGAAATTGTGGTTCGGGTTGAAACGAAAAAAAAACAATGGGGAAATACCTCAAGTCCCCTCATATGTTAATTTATGAGCTAGGTAAAGGAGTGTGCGTTTGATTGGTACTGTCGCATTAATGGCCCATCGCTCCATTTCAACTTCTGTTCAGTTTTCACACTGGCGTTCTCTAGCGGAGCTATCAATCTATCCTCTTCAGAACTTTCTCGGGCTAATATATTGTCGCACTAAAGCTTTATGTTGAAATTGGTATACACTCTATTTCAAAACTACCCAAATATGGGTAGAATCCACCCAGATCGGTCAAAGTGAACCTACCCAAAAAGGGGTAAACTAGGTTGGGAGCAGTGCTGCAAAATTTCGACAATACACGGTGATATTGACAATTCTGCTTGGTCACTCATTTCAGCTAACAGTCACAGTTAAGGCAAACCATGTCAATTGTCAATGACAATGCTGTCAGTGACGAACATGTGTAGATTTTTATATTAACTAATTTTTTAACGAAATTAAATGACTTGAGCAACACAATTACATGGAGCCGTTAATGTGAACAAGCATCTACGCCCTGAACTGCTTGGATAACATTAATGTGATACAGAATGTACGATATTACACTTTCTGTTACCACGTGAATCTTTGTCATTGACGAAAAAATGAATGAGATTTTGACGAAGGTTTTTTTGAGGATCAAGTCTGTCAGTGACTATGTGACGAACAATTTTGTCAATATCGCGCGAAAGTCTGTCAATGATAATGACAAATCTCAGCATTGGTTGGGAGTGACAAGTTGACAAATGGACAACATCGACACGAATCTCGACTTTGTTCATTTGTCAACTTGTCACTCCCAACATAGTTTACCAATTTTTGGGTAGTTTCAGTTTTGACCAATCTGGGTGGATTCTACCCAAATTTGGGTAGTTTTGAAATATCGTGTAGCATTTCCTCCCAACCTTGAAAATCGTTAACTTTACATATGGAGAACAAAACAAATTGGACCAGCGATGGTTCATCTGAGATTTTCGAATGGAATTCGAATTTTTTTTCAAAACTCATTGGAAGTCTATTAAAATAATGAACGAAGAAATCTGTAAGATCATTTGGAGTCCCTCAAACTTGGTGATAGGTATTTTGATAGTTCCTTAAAGCTTACAGCAAAGACTCAAAAAATGGTCGCCTCGATCCCGTTCTTTTAACTTAGTAGGGGAAATGGATGTAATGTCGGCCTAAATGCCCCTATTTTGGGCCCATACATAAATTCAGCAATCGACTAAATTTTCAATAGCGACCAAAAATATCCACTAGTACCGTCCCAATGACGCGTTCATCTAGATAAAATTGATAAGTAGATTTTTAGCGATGGGCCCAATCTTAGATCCATAGGCCAACATTAGAGCCATTTCTCCTATCACGTCAATCCTTGGTGGAAGGTCGAACAACTAAGGGACAATTTATAAATTACGTAGACATTTGACGGAGTAGGGGGCTGGCAAGTGTATACGGTCCATATAAATTGCCGAAAATTTGATTTGTTTTCCGTCGATCTTGTTTTCCGTGCTGAGCACCAATGCTACCGAGGCCAGGGAGGCAACTCCTACACCTGGACCCTACCTATCGACCCATCATCTCATGGACCGGGGACCAACGGCTTTACTTCTCTTCCGAAGGAAGGCGTGATCGGAGATGTTATGCCTCAGAACATCCCGGCGGCACCGACTGGGATTGAACCCGGGCCTGCTGGGGTGAGAGATAATCACGCTTACCACTACACCACCGGCACCGTTTTCCAAAAATTTGAGTGGGCGATTTTTTACGCGGAGGGTAAATCTTATCAAAATCTGTCTACAAAATCTTGTCTACGGTTTACAGGGATCTGTGTTTCTTATAGGGAACATCGTAGCAGTTTGGTAGAAGATCTGCTTGCCCCTGGAAGTTTTGCGAGCTTTGTTTAATTTTGAGAAGCCTCCCAGATGTTCAGGAAAATTCGTAGAAATGGATGAGTTTTTTTCCGGAAGCTCAGTGCAAAGCGCATATGTTCTAAGATCTTGATAGAGTTAAGAAAATATGAATAAGAAACGTGACAGAAGATCGGGTAACTTCGTATTTGTTGAGCATTTTTTAGATGTTCAGGGAACGTTGTAAAAGCAAACGAATCATCTCTCAGATATTCTACATAAACGGCAAGTTTTTCCAAGAGTATTCAAAAGATCTCCAGATAGACGAAAATTTCAATAAAGTCTATTGGATATTTTTGTTCAAGACTTCAGATTTCCATTCTTAAGATATACGACTGTTCAAAAATACAAATAAAATCTCTCAGATAAAAGTGTGTAAGACTTTAGAGACTGATCAAGTTAATTATTCTAAAAATCTTAAACCATAAATGCTAATTTCGTCCCTCAAGTAGTCTCCCAAAATGATAGGCTGATCAGGAAGTATTCAAACAATCTCCAGCTAATCGAAAATGTCACTAAAGTCCTGTTTGATATTTTTCAATAAATGGTTTGGATTATTCATAAACAACATCAAGAAGAAACTTAAAATGTGGAGTCAAAATCTTCAGTTCTGTGTGTGTGTATTCCCTCTAACCCCCACTGCACAAAGGTCCAGAATGCAGATTTAGGTGGAATGATATGTTTTGAGCCTGAAATTGAAACTTTAGACTAAAAAAACTCTTCTAAAAAGTTGTTCCTTATAGTTAGGCCCTCATTTTTATGGCAATAAATTCTAGGGTGGTACCTATTATCATTAAAATCAAAAATCTAACTTTTTTGTTTGAATAAATTAAGGTATACATTTTGCGGCAAAGTTATAGCTGAGCTAATTTCAAGTAACTTTGTTGAAAATTACTTTTTTGTATCTCTTAAATTGGCCGATTTAGAGCTATTTTCTTGAATTGAGTTAGGGTGGATCTTAAAAAACAGTTTTTTTGCTCTAGTTTTCTTATTTCGAATTTCTCAGCAAAGATGTCTTCAGATAACTTTTAGATCTTAAGACAGTGCATAATGTTGACAGACTGCATATAAAATTCGTGAAAATTAGCATTAAATCATAATTTTCATCAAGCCTGCGTAAAATTCTTCCAATATAACATTCGAATTGAAGAAGAAAACGTTTTTACGATCAGACTGATGTGCATCTTTGACTTTTCCAGATGAACTTTCATAAGATATATTCATTTCATTTCACGGCTCCATCAATGCTGCATCGTAAATATGATGGTAAACAGAAGCAAATTGCTCAATTACTCAAAATAAAGATGATTTGTCATCTTGTTATCACTTTGACGACGATCTAGTAGTAAGACGATTTTCTTTATGGACCGATTTGCCCTAAAAGGCGTCTGTTTTACTTGGAAAATTTGGAAACTATCCTCCTTCTAGTAGTTCTCACTTCGAAATGAAGGTGGCGAAAGCTTGGAAAAGTTTCACTGCAAGACGCCAATATTAGCAGAGTGAATATTATCTTTTTGAATTTCATATTTCTGTAATCTCGAAGGCCAGTGTTTACACGTAACTGCTGCACGTACCTTGCGAAGTTCAAAGTCGTCTTCCGAAGTCTTTTCTACTTCGTCCCATGCATCCCGCATCTAACGCATAGAGGAAATGATTCTCGTCGTTTTCCTCAAACGGAATCGCTGGTTGAGTTTCATGGATCAATCGCGATAGTGCATCCGCCACATTAAACTCACCTGGAACTCTTTTCATGACGTAATCATAAGGCTGCAACCGCAGGGCCCAAGCCTCTGCTCTTGAGACAGCCCTTTTTCCCAATCGGTGATTAGAGTTGAAGGTGTATTCGTTAGCTTCAGCATCCGTACGAATGACAAACGATCTGCTCCAGTAAATAATACGAAAATCGTTCCACACCCCAAACAACAGCAAGGGCTTCTTTGTGCGAATGAGGATACTTCTGCTCCATTGAAGTGAGTGCTTTGGATGCACAAGCTATAGTTCTTGGAACTCCTTGCCCGTTATACTGAACCAGGAGCGCTCGAAGTCCGATTGCTGATGCATCCACAAACAGTTAGGTTTTGTCCAATAAAACCTATCCGCATTAGCTAATCCGCTCGGTGAACTATGAATCTGTCAGCAAAGGTCACCAATCCCAAAAAACTCTTTACTTCTGGTTGTCTGAATTTCTCCACTGCACTAATTTTCTCCTCCTCAATCTTCCATCCTTCAGAAGTTAGGACAAAACCAAGAAACTTGACCGACTGACTACTGAACATACACTTGGACTTGTTTAGCTTCACATTGTGTTGACGCAAACTATTAGCTAGCCTCCAGATTCGCATCATGTCATGTACAAGAATATCATCTAGATAATTCTTCACTCCTTTACAGCCGCCCAGTATTTGCCTTTGTAAAATTTCTTGGAATAGATCAGGTGCATTACATAGACCGAACGGTAGCCTTACGAATCTGAACATACCAAACTCCGTGAAAAAATTGGTCAGATGGCGTGATTCCTTGTCCAGCTCTATATGGAAAAATGCGTTTGACAAGTCAATGGTTGAAACCCAGGATGAGCCGTCAAGCTCCGTCAAAAAATTTTCCAAAGTTGACATTGCAAACAGAGTTCTGTAGATATATCTTCGATGACCAATCTGATATCCTCTTTCCCTTTAGGCACAACGAGCATTGGTGAACAAAACGACGTGTCCATGTCGTCAGTCACGCTTTCGATGATTTTCGATTCAACCAGTTGTTGCAGTCTATGCTTTACCAATGGTTTCACAGCTCGAGGAATATTCATAAAAATGTTGCTTCAGCTCATTCCCGTTGTAGCTAATCCTGACCGGTGGTACATTACACTTCGGAAAAGGTTCCTTCTTAACCAACGAAGCAATACTGCAGCGATACACATTCAACCTGCCTGTCACTCTACATGAATCGATTGGTACATGCAGACCTAGCATGAGAACACTATATCTAGTTGCTGTGGATAAGAATCTTAGTTCTTTAACAACGTAAAATTGTTCGAGCAGCACCGGTCTATCATCAGACACGAACAAGTAAGCTTCGAAAGCTGCTGATACGGGAATATTACCGATTGTTGCATATGCTCGCAAATGACAGTCTGATCCATCATGCATGTTGTACACATTTTCTTTAAACTTTTCACTAGCCATCAGCTCCTGGAACATACCTTCAGTGAATGTATTTACTTGAGCGCCCGAGTCGATCAAAAACTCACATCGCATTCCGGCCTACTTACAATGAATGATTCCATCATCATCAATTCTTTCGCTCTTTCCAAAAGATGCTACAACGAATCAGTCCTCCTTCTTACGATTCTTCTGAAAAAATATGCTAACAAGTTACAACTAACCAAAAGAAAGACGTATTACCAACAATCAATACGAAACTAACGATTTTAAATTGGCTCACTAGTTGACTAGCCTATTGGTCCCAAGCAAATCGATTAACGTACCCCATTCTAGTTAAAATTCTAGTGCTACACAAAGTTTGTTTTGATTCACTATGAAATTTTGACAGATAAAATGAGGGGCTATTGGATTTTCCTATGTTTCGAAGGGTTGAATCGATTAGCTTGGGACCGAAGATAGTACCAGAGCTGAGACAAAACGTTGAGCACGTTTCTTCTTTCTAGTCTTAGAGTTACCTCTATGGTATTACCTTTATCAGTTGGATATTAGTATTACACACACACACTTCCAGTTTCAAAACGTTCTTTTGAATCCTGGCACGTATTTAGTTTATGTTTTTTTTTTTAATTGTAAAAGTGTTTGGACTGGTCTTACCATGTTACTTAATACTTCCTTCGACGAACACAAATTTTCTTGCATTGCCATGGTCATCTGGGAGGAGGTTCGCTTCTAGTGCTTTCTTCAGGAACCTTTCGCGGCCACCAGTTACCACCCGTCCAGTCCTGGGCGTATCCAGCGAGGCATCTTTCATATTGCTCGCATTCTCCGACACCGGCGAGAGACCAGTAGCCGAGCACTTTTGCTAGTGGAAACTTGCTGATTCACGGCAACGTCAGCCACCGAATCACCACCAAAACTCGCGACGGGCACGTTCCCGGACTAATTCACCAACCGGACCGGGTTCAAGCTCACCCACGGTGACGAATTTCTCAACAGAACAGAACTACACGTCGAAAATGTGGCATCCGAACCCGGAAAACCGGGCTCCCGGGAGGCAATGAAAACCAACACCGAACAATGAAATTGAAGCTGCGTCTTAGATTTTGGAGGGATTCAAGGTCAACCGAGTCACTCAAGGCAAACACGGGAAAACACGATATATCACTAAATGATAACTTTATGAACACTTGAAACTAAATTTCCGCACACAAATTAACAAATTTAAAGCAAACAATGTTTAATTCGCTGACGAAAATTACGCAGCAAAAGAAAAAAAAACACATCAGCTTTCAAGCGCAGACTACTGCGATCAAGTGAAAATCTTCATTTCTATAGCTAAAATCTTAACTCGTCTGCAAGATGAAACTGATCTAGTGAGTAAATAAAAATTCGAAAAAATTGTAAGCTCAGAGACATCATTTCAGATTGGAAAATGTGATGTGTCAGAGAACATCATTTTTATATTTTCACTAGCTGAGTGTGCCCGGCCTTGAATTCAATATTAGCTTGAGTTTATGTGCCAATTAAAATAAAGCATGCTATATTGTACGTATCCCCCCCCCCCTCTTATCTAAGGGGCTTCCCCCTATGACCTCCACATGCCAAATTTGGTTCCATTTGCTTGATTAGTTCTCAAGTTATGCAGAAATTTCTGTTTCATTTGTATGAGAGCCCCCGCACACTGGGGCAGATCAGTGATTTTCTCGGAAAAAATTAATAACTTTTGAACAAAGCATCCAATCAGAATACTGCCTTCGGTAAAGTTGTTTGTATTAGTTAAGCGCTTCTTTTGAATAAATTAATTAGTTCGCAACTTGGTCGTAGAGATGGCGCGCGAATCTAACTTTTTAATAAAGCATCCTAGACGTATAGTGTTTTCAACAAAGTTTTTCATCTATTAAAATGAAGGAAAGTTGCAGAAGACATAAAACTTCCATAACCTTTAGTTTCGGAGATATAGGGTGATATAAAAATAACCATGTATACGTCAGCTCAATCAGCTGCATTACCCAGGTAAAGTTGTATATGTGACATCATCGTACAAGTCGTGTGCTGCCGTGCCAACGTGATCGTGTACAACGTACAATTATCGATTACTTTTTCGAAGAGACGTATCAGCTTTTGTAAACAATGCATTTGATCGTCGGTTTGGTGTAACTGGTAGTTCATCCACGCATACTAACACCACTATCATGCAGGAGAAAATTTCCCCTATCTGATGGTAGTGTTAGTATACGTTAGCGAGCTACCAGTTACGCCAAACCGACGATCAAATGCATTGTTTACAAAAGCTGATACGTCTCTTCGAAAAAGTAATCGATAATTGTACGTTGTACACGATCACGTTGGCACGGCAGCACACGGCTTGTACGATGATGTCACATATACAACTTTACCTGGGTAATGCAGCTGATTGAGCTGACGTATACATGGTGGAAAAGGACGGATAATCGTGTAGTAAGCAGAGAGTCAAAAGCAGATGATAGCATCAAAAACATGGCCCCTGGTTCGCTGGCAGCTCATAATAAGTAAACAATCTCAAAATTCAGCACAGCATTTAAAAATGGTGACATGTCAAAAATTTATATAATGTTTTTCATTATGTGAAACAGTTCATTTCAATGTAAAGGATATTTTTATCAGTATATATAAAGTGAAATTTAAAAAAATCATCGAATATCATGTTTTTAGTTTTCTGGTATATGTTAGACAATGACATGAGCTAGCAAAAGAGACAAAGTCCAGCTGCCCTTAGCTGCCCCTACGAGAATCCCACCCACCTAAAATAGAGGCAAAATATCATGTTTTTCGAGAATATTTCACTAAAACCACTATAAATTCCACAAATAGTTCAATGAAAATTCGCACCTAGTTTGTTTTCGTTGGAATAAATGCAGAAACAAGAGCAAACATATGAAAATATACAAAAAAGTTAACAAATAAGAATTTTGACATCATATTTTTCAATACACCCTATATCTCCGAAACTAAAGGTTATGGAAGTTTTATGTCTTCTGCAACTTTCCTTCATTTTAATAGATAAAAAACTTTGTTCAAAACACCATACGTCTAGGATGCTTTTTTAAAAAGTTAGATTCGCGTGCCATCTCTACGACCAAGTTGCGAACTAATTAATTTATTCAAAAGAAGCGCTTAACTAATACAAACAACTTTACCCAAGACAGTATTCTGATTGGATGCTTTGTTCAAAAGTTATTAATTTTTTTCCGAGAAAATCACTGATCTGCCCCAGTGTGCCCCGTTTACAGAAGGGGGAGGAGTCTCAAACCATCATAAGAACCTTTCCCTGTCCCAAAAACCCCTGCATACAAATTTTCACGCCGATCGGTTCAGTAGTTTCCGAGTCTGTAAGGGTCAGACAGACAGACAGACAGAAATTCTTTTTTTTATATATATAAAGATAGATAGATACATTTACTCACTACTTTGAAGTATCCTGCTATCTGTCACTTGTATTTCTCATTAATTGATTCAACTTCAGTTGTTGATGGTTTATGCAAGATTGATTTTATTGTTCAAATTTAACTTAGCCTAAACTGGAGGTATTTGAAGTCTTTATGTATTTGCTAGCCAATCAGCGATCGATACATAGATAGACCAAGAGAGGGAGAGGAATGATCAAGAGAGAAACCGCGCTGCGGCTTTCCCACGTTACATGTCGCATGGTGACAACGCCGCTTGGAAACAGGCGTAGTGCATTGGCTTAATAATTAGATCCTTTCCTCGGAAATTGATTATGCAGTACCTCGACTCAGCAGTGGCGCTACAAATGCGATCTGCTGGAAATGAACAGAATTCGATGGCATCTGTTATGCAGATGCCACACTAGGTCACTTTCACCTTAAAAATTCAAAAATCACTCCGAAGCCTTCTTCAATTTCAATAGGTCTTCAAAAATCTACACAAATCATGAAATTTCTTCGCAGAATTTTAAATATCTTCAAAATGAAGACAAATCCCCAAATCTGGCATCCCTGCTCATCAGGAAACCTCAGAAGAACTCATCACACCACTTCTTCATAATAGACTAAAGGCCCACGCACATTAGATCCGGATCGGACGCGTTGCGGCAAAGTGACAGCTAAATCAATTGTCTAACTGTCAAATTTACGTCAACGCAACGCAAACGGATCTAATGTGGGAGGCCCTTAAATCCACGCCAACTGAGGAATCGATTTTATTATGCCCTCTTCGAACTCCATGAAGCTTCGCATAATTGTTCATTACCCAAAGTTTGGGCAGGACTTCGACCGATTTGATTCTCACCAAATTTTCCAAAATGGTGTATTCAATATTTTTTTGTTTTGACTGTTAAAAACTTCGTTAACAAGTGAGCAGTTCCACGCCAAATGACAACCGCAAAAACTCGACCTTCTCCGATTTGCATTAAACTTTGCATTATTGTTTTTTAAAAAATTGTAGCAAGGTAATGAGGAATTGATTTTTTCAAGCAAAATCAAACCACTTTTAAACAATAAAATCACAACAATAAACAAAACAACGACTCACCTAACATCTCGTCCAACTTCCATTTTTTCCCCCCAGATCTACACCCACATCAACGACAAGCTGGTCGGCCTGATGCTGCGTGCCCGCAAGCACGAGCTGATCCAGTTCGAGGGTGAGATGCTGTTCCAGCGCCGTGACGACAACGTGCCGGTCTTCCTGATGAAACCCCTCCGAGAAATTCGGGAAATCCTCGTCGGCAAGCAGACGGAAATTCGCCGGAGTTTGAGTCCCAACCCGCAGCCTACTGGGGTGTTGTAAGCGATTACAAAGGGGAGTGCATCAAACAGGCCGCGGTGGTGATAATCAACGAACGGCGGTGGCGGCGCGCTAGCCGGTGCTATCTATGATGAAGATGGGAAAATGTGACGTTTTGATGAATGCGAGCGTGAGTGACTGCGACGGATGAAATTTATACGTGTGATCAATCGTACTGAGAATCGTAAATAATCTGTATATTTTAGAGGTTTGTTTTGATGGACGTGTGCTCATCGCCGCTATGGCGATGGGTTGAAACTGTTAGGAAGTATATATTGGATCAATTCGAAGAAATTGAAAGACATGTTTTCTGTTGTCAAAAGTCGGTTAAATTTTTGGTGCTGACAAATCTTACAGCGTACTTTGATTTTCGGTTTTTGTTCCTTTAGATTTTCGTTCTGGAAGAGTGTAGCCATCTTCCAGTAAATTCCAGGGAAAAGCAAAAGATTCATACTACTACCACTAACGGACTAGTGTTAGGGCGGAGAACAGAAACAAACAGAACCAAAAATAGCCGTTAAGTTTAACCAGTAACTTCACTAAAACATGATTATTTATTCTTTAAGATTTCCTCGCTGTTTTCCCACAAAAGCCTTCTTTGATTTAGCCGGTAATTTTCCGTTCGTGCAATATTTAGTTGTAGTTTTTCTTCTTCTTCTTCTTCCACTTCTATTTAGTTATCCAGCTGTAACTTTTTTCCCCCAGTTTCTTTAGTGCGGTAGTCACAGTATTATACACTTATTATACACACAAAACAACTTACAAAAAAGAGAAAAAAAAAAATGAAAACAAGATGAGCTGAAAATGTAAACAAATCGCGCACATGTTGGTATAGCGAAGGCAACAATAGAAACAGAGCAACCTATGTGGGAAGTGCGAACCCCCGAATGCCGCCATCTTCGGTAATGAAGTCATAATGCGATAATCGCATCGCGGACCGGAGGTTTGCGTGAGAAAAAAAAAAAACAGTGTAAAAGATCAGCTTCCGCAGCTGTTTTCGGAGGAAAAAAGCCTAATTGGATTGGAATCAAAACAAAACAAAAGAAAGGAAAAGCCCATCGAATCAACACGCATGGGTGGCCACATGCCAGCGTGATTCGAAGGTGGCAATAGTCGAGAGTAGGAAGTGCCGCAGTTTGGCTTGAGAAGTAGGTGAAGAAGTAGACACCAAGAGCGATGAAAGTGATGAACCGTATGAGAGTGAGAAACCGACCAGGGTGTTGTACTAACATGTGTTTGTTTAAAGTTAGACGAGTCTCTTGTTGTTAGACGTAATGAATGCTATAACTGTAATTAGGTCGTTAGATAGAAAAGATTCAATGAATGAAAAAATATACATATAGTTTCCATTACCGTTATCATGGCACTGTGTTTTAATTTTTTTCGGTAGTTTTTGAAAGAAAAGCCTACATCTGTAGCGCAGAAATGTCAGAGCAATTTTCAATGAAAATTAAGCAAGTCTTGCACCAACCAAGGAAGAGTATACTATGTCTGCAATAATGCACTATATGCACAGATTTTATAATGTAGTCGTCTGAAGACTTTTCAGTAAATTATATAAAACATCTTTACTTCGGCTGCCGAGACTCAGAAAATGTTTTGCTGAACCTCTGTGAGCAAACCATTGCCCGGAATACCATTTGCCGGCATGTACTATTTCCCGGAATATTTTTACGTAGGACTACGTCTGTGATTTCTATATGGGGGTACACTTTGTGAAAACCGAAAATGGAACATGTAACAAAATTATGAAAGATTTTGAACGTTAATAACTCAGCTGCCCCTGGACCAATTTTTTATAATTTTAACACCAATCGATCAGAAATATTTCTACGCATCTGTTAAATTAAGGACTTCATCATTTTTTCAAAATGTAACTATTGAAAATTGTACGAATGCAATCATGCAAAATTGCATTATAATTGAAATTATCACCGATTGCCTGCGAAAAGCGATTTCCCTAACACAGGGAAGTCGAGAAATTTTCCAACCCGAAAAAATCCTAGACCGAACCGGGAATCGAACCCAGCCACCTCCAGCATGGTCTTGCTTTGAAGCTGCGGCTTTACCGACTGAGCTAAGGGAGGTCTCACCTAACGGTGTTTATTCAATCACCGCGTGGTGAGTGGTGGTGATCGCTAGAACACAGCGAAAGGTTGCCTGCAAGCAGCAAGCTGCAGCCCATATGGGCATCCATAGAAGCTCTTCGTGAGTCGCTGTGGGCCATCTATGTCAAGCGCGTCATACTAAAGAGTATAAACAGAGATAATCCCGCTCAAATACCTATTCCTTCCACAAAACACAAGCTCCTGCTACAGTTAACAAATAAGATTTATTGTATAAGACCACGTAGTTCTACGTCACCATTGCGTACAACCCCATGTGGCTGTCTGTTGTAGTTTTTTTTCGTTAAATAAAACAAGTAAATTTTACTATTTTTTCACGTCCACGTCCAGAGTCTCTTAATCTTATATAATTCATTGATTTTAATAAAGATCAATAGGCCTAAAATACTTGGTCTCTCGCGGCTACCGAAAACCATCATAATGATGCAGATTTTAAAATGTTGCGCGGCGAGAGAAGTTTTAAAACACTCGTTTTTCTCGAGTTAAAGTTTATTTAATAAATTTGATTGTTGCTATTTATGGGTGATCAAAAGTTTAAATCTATCTGAGCGATTCCAGACGAATTCACAAATCCATTAATTTTCGTTTTTTTTTATTTAGCTGAACTTTTTTAGAAACGTTCTTCATGACCAAAAATGCCATTTCAAGAGCAAATTTTCATTACGTCGAAAGTAACAAAGGTCCTGTAACGTGGGTAGATCACCTTTTCGTGGTACATTACGGGATGTAAGATCTGCCACCGATTCCTAGTCTTGACTACTTCAATGTTTTGATTTTGTTGCTAAGGAATCCAATTTTTTCTCAAAAACGAACGAACCTCCTAACGCAATCCCTTTATGAAGAGCTTTTTGAGTGTGTTGATTTATTTCCTTTTAATTCCGTTATAACTGCTGTAGCATTGCCACTTTTATGTAAATATAATTTAAGAATTGCCAAGAATTATTTTGAATTTACAATTTGTTTTGCCATCTATTTTTGTTTTCAATATTAATTATCGTTCACGTTATTTATTTACCATTTACAATTATTCATTTTGGTACGGTATGAACAGGCTTGAATGTAGTAAGGAAACTTCTGAAATTTTTCGGGCAGTTCAGGGAAGCTGCAGGAAATTTAAAGAAGTTCTTGGAACTTCAGGGATATTCAGAAAACTTCAGAGAAGTTCAGAGAACTTGAGGTAAATTGTGAAAATTTGAAGAAGCTCCAAGATCCGAAGGAAAGATAGGTCTAGAGATTATCAGGAGAGCTCAAGGCTGTCAGTGACGTCCAGACTTTCGGGTAAGTTTAATGATATATGAATGATGAATTCAGTACAGTACCATGATCGTCAGGAAATGTTTAAGAAACTTTTAGAAGTTTCAGGAATTTCAGAGAACTCCTAAAAACTATAGAATGCTTTAGGAATATTTTTGGGAATTTTACAGAAGTTCAAAGATTTTCAGGGCTGTTTCAATATGTTTAGGACATTTACATTTATTTCAGGGCAACACCAAGAACTTCAGGATGGCAGTTTAACCAACCAGTGGAAACTAACGATTTTAAATTGGCTCACTACTTGACTAGCCTATTGGTCCTAAGCAAATCGTTTAACGTACCCCATTCCAGTCAAAATTCTAGTACTACACTATATTTGTTTTGATTAGCTATGAAAGTTTGACAGATACAATGAGGGGTTGGGATCGAAGAGAGTACCAGAGCTGAGCCAAAAAGTTGAGCACGTTTCTTCGGGACCATCTGGTCTTAGAGTTACCTCTATGGTTTAACTTCAAAAAAATTACAGGAGCTTTACAGAAGTTCCATGAAACACAGGGAATATCCGAAAACTTCAGCAAAGTTCAGACATCTTCAGGAAACATCGGAGAACTTATTATTATTATTTTCAGGGATGTTTCAATCATTTCGAGGAAGATTAGAGATTTTCAGAGCAGTTCCTTCAAATAAATTGCAGGAACTTTCAAGAAGTTCTGAAGAATTGTGGAATATTTCGAAAATTTAAGGATTGTTATATTCAGGGAAGCTCCATGTATATCAGGAAAAAAAATCTCAACGCCAGAAAAATTAGGAACCGTAAAAGGAAATTCAAGGAAATATCTAAAACATCAGAAAAATTGTGGGAGCTGCAGGATAGATCAAAGAACTTCAGGGCAGTTCAATTATCTTCGGGAAAATTGCGGCAACTTTTAAAAACCTCTGAGAACATTATTGAAGTTCAGAGATCTTTACTGCCGGTAATCGCAAGTCAGCCCCATCTGAATTTTCATCAATTTTTAATTAGCATGATTATTCAGTTTATATTTTTATGTTTTTTGAGCACCGTAACGATTTTTTTTTTATTAAAATGAGCTAGAACTTTTTTTCTCAATGTTTCGACGTTTTTTGCGTTCGGTGAAGTTTGTGGGCTTTGTCCCTTCTTTATTGCAAAAAATTAGTTGATATTCAAAAGCCAACTTTCGAAAATAAAGACATACAATCTTCAGCAGTTTTTTTTTATTAATCACTTTATTTGTATGAGCCTGATCGAATAAACTTTACAGAGCCGAGTTATCATTTTCGTTATACATTATTTATGTCTTATATTTAAAGTTAAAGGAGCTGGATCGGATACTCGCGGTTGTCTCGAGGTTAGTGGAGATTTACAATTTTTTTGGATGGGAAAAGGGAGAGGGAGGTTTGAAATGTGGTTTACGATACAAATATTTAATTAATCCTAAAACATGAACTAATTTCTGTTCACTAAAAACCCACACGTACAAAATACAAACTAAACACAAGGTTAATCAAACTTACAATCTAATGTTAATATTCTTAAAGTAAACATATATGAGTTTCATAAACTCCAGATCACGTCTAGCCAAAATATCCCGATCTGGAACATTGGGTTGTCTACCTCGAGCCCGAAGGGAATCGTACAGCTCAGATCTGACTCCACGATGCTCAGCACAAGACCAAATAATATGATCGGCGTCTTGGTAACCTTGTCCACATTCACAGAGATTGCTGTCCCCCAGCCCAACACGGAACAAGTGAGCGTTTAACAAATAGTGATTGGACATGAGGCGAGACATCATACGAATGAAGTCTCGATTCACATCCAACCCCTTGAACCAAGGACTCTTCGACACCTTAGGGATGATCGAATATAGCCATCGTCCCAAACTCCCTTCACTCCACTTATTCTGCCAGCTGACGAGTGACTGTTGACGATAAATGAAGAAAAATTCATCGTAGGCGATTTGTCGATCGTAAATATCGCCTTCCATAGCGCCCACCTTAGCAAGTGAGTCAGCCATCTCATTGCCCGGAATCGAGCAATGAGATAAGACCCATGCAAAGGTGATGACAAAAGATCTTAAAAATAAAGCACTTAAAAGCTCTCGTATTTTCATGAGAAAATACGAGGAGTGCTTTACCGGCCTCATGGAGCGAATAGCCTCGACAGAACTGAGACTATCCGTAAAAATAAAATAGTGATCTGTTGGAATTGAGGCGATCGTTTCTAACGTATAGTATATTGCCGCCAGCTCAGCAACATATACGGAACAAGGAGCTTGAAGCATTCGAGAGGCACTATGAAATTTGTTAAAACCAGCGGACGACTCTATTAGTGATCCATCTGTGGAGAACGATCTTGCGGAATCAACTTGGCCAAACTTTGCAGCGTAAATTGACGGAACAATCATGGAACGATGATGTTCTGGGATCCCACGAATCTCCCTCGTCATAGATAAATCAAAATTCACTGAATTGCCCAAGTCGGAGAAGCATACACGATGAGGATTATGCTGTGAAGGGCTGACATCCTGAGTTATGTACACGTAGTACAATGTCATAAAACGAGTTTGAGGGTTTAGCTCAAGAAGCTTCTCAAAGTTTTCGATCACCAGTGGGTTCATTACTTCGCAACGGGTGAGGAGCCTCATAGATAACTCTGAAAAACGGACGGATAGTGGAAACATGCCCACCAGCACTTCGAAACTCATAGTATGAGTCGAGTGCATGCATCCTAACGCGATACGAAGACAACGATACTGGATCCGTTCCAGCTTGATGATGTGCGTTTTAGCTGCCGACTGGAAACAAAAACTACCATATTCTAGAATCGATAAAATCGTTGTCCGGTACAACGTCATTTTCGTCTCAGATACTCAATGTGAGATCTCTAGGTGCATTTGGAATCGAACCAGACCCCGAGATATTTGAAAGACATGGAATGAGTGATCGGCTTACCCAAA